TCTGTCTGTGTGTATGCCTGCAGGCCAGAAGAGGGCACCAGATCCTATTATAGATGGTTGTGAGCCACCATGTGGTTGCTGGGAATTGAACTCAGGACCTTTGGAAGAGCAAGCAATGCTCTTAACCCCTGAGCCATCTCTCCAGTCCCCAGTAAGTGCTCTTAATTACTGAGCCATCTCTCCAGCTCCTCGAACTGCAACTCTTCAGTAACTTTTTCTTGAACCAACATTCAGTGGTTTGATTTTGAGACTGGATCTTCAGCCCAGGCTGCCCTCCAACTCCCTTATACTTCTGATCTCTTTCCAAGTGTCAGGATTACAAGTATGCTCCACTAAAACCGGTTCAAGCAGTGCTAGGGATGGAAACCAGGGTCTTAAGAATGCTAGGTGAGCTCCCTACCAAGGCGGTTACATTCCAAGTCCTAGCAACCAACACATTTACTAAGCACCTATTCCTGGTTCTGGCATATAGCACTAGGAGAAGGTGCCTTCTTACTCAGCATACAAAAAGAGGTACAGAATAGGCAGTGGTGGCGCACGCCTTTTATCCCAGAACTCAGGAGGCAGAGGTAGGCAGATCTCAAAGTTTGAGGCCAGCCTGGTCTACAAGAGCTAGTTCTAGGACAGGCTCCAAAGCTACATACAGAGAAAGCCTGGAGAGAGAGAGAGAGAGAGAGAGAGAGAGAGAGAGAGAGAGAGAGAAAGGAACAGAACAGGCAGTCAGTAGGTAAAATGGTGATCCAAACAAAACTCTGTCTTGGAGCTAGAGAGATGGCTCAGTGGTTAAATGCACTGACTGCTGTTCCAGAGGACCCTGGTTCAATTCCCAGCACCCACATGGCAACTCACAATCATATGTAACTCTAGTTCCAGGGCATCTCATTCCCTTTTCTGGTCTTGGAAGGCACCTGGCATATCATGTGGTACACAGCCATACACGCAGGCAAAATACCCATACACATTTAAAAATAAAACCAACCTCAATGCTACAAACTACAGTCCTAGATCCATAGCCCTTCGCAGTTGGTTCAACCTGTGCTCATACATGGCTTTGGTGCCGTGCTGAAGCTCAAATCTGTTTTCCTTTCAGTTGCCTGTTCTTCATTCAATTCCCTAATTGGTTTCCTCATCTAAAACCAAAGGGCATTGCTCCTAATTGTTTCTGGTACTCTATTTGACCTTGGCCTCGCAGTTCAACTCTGCCTCACTGTCCTCACTGCAGGGCAATCGCCTGCATTTATACTGTAGCCTTATCCCAGACCATCAGTTTGTACTTGCATTTTTTTTTCTTTCAGAGGAGCTCCAAGCCTCATCTCTAATTTTCTCCCTAGAGATGCACCACTTATTTTTTTGGTAATTTGTTACTCTTAAAGAGTTATTTTTGACTAGACTCAGAAGCTCCCAGCAAGACAGCCTACATCTGACAATTTGTTGCTGGGGTTTTTGTTGGTTTTCTTCATTCTGTTAGCCAGAGGTTTAGCATTTTCTTGAACCCCCCTCATTTCTTTAGTGTGCTGTTTCTTCAGAGCAATATATCAACACTTATGTTGCAGAACAGTGGTGGAACAAGATGCTGAGTCTGGGGTGCTTTCATCCTGGGCTTTCCTTCAAGGGCTTTCTGACAACAGTGGACATCTTTTGAGACTAAAAAGCTTTCAGATTCTGCTAGCACTTTTGGGTTCCAGCAGCACAGACATAGCCAGTCAGTCCATGAATATCTTTCTCTTTTTTTCTTACAGTAACCAAATTGAGAGCACTCAAGTTGCTACCCAGGAACAGATAAGCACCTTCCTCCCTCCAGTCCTCCTTGGTCTCTAACAGGAACGCCCCTTACCCTACACAGCAGGCACACCCTGCCAGGGGTCAGCACACCTTGCCTCATGGGAAAACCTTGTTTGTTGTTCCCATTACTGATTCTGACCACATGACTCTCCTCTCTTCACCCAGAGCATCAGTAGCTACTTCTGTGGCCATGTACTTCTAGAAAGCACGAAGCTTTGCTCACCATCCACGTTGGTGAGTTTCTGACAGCCACTGGCAAAGAAGCTACTCAGCTTCATCTTGATACAGCTGACTACGTAGGAGGCTCCATGGAGAAACAAGATGCACTGCTTTTAACACTAGTAAACCTTGAAGGGGTCAAACTACAGAATGCAGAACTCAGTAAGAAGGGACAGCCAATGTTTGATATATTCTGTATTTCTCAAAGATTTTCATTAAAAGTGGTTCAACTCAATCAAATTTTGTTCTTACTTTCATAAAGCAAAGCTTGGTAACAAAACTTCAGCATTTTCTTATCCCACTGAACTGGTACTTTCTGAGGGCGCCCTCTGGTGGACATAGTGGTGGAAAGCACATACCCAGCTGAAGATGCTTTTGGACATCTCTATTGAGTGAGCTGCCCAGAAGCAGGCACTGTAAAAGCATGCCCAGCAGCTTGGGAGAAACAGGGAAGGACAGCTAAGCTTGAGTGGGACTTAGGCCCCCATTCTCATTCCCTAAGAGGTGAACAACTGCCAAGCAGTGGTGGTGCTAGCCTTTAATCCCAGCCCTTGGGAGCAGGTGGATTTCTGTGAATGTGAGGCCGGCCTGGTCTACAGAACTAATGCCAGGACAGCCAGGGCAATACAGAAAAAAAAAAAAAAAAAAAAAAAGCTTCAAAAAATAATGGGGAAAAAAAGTGAACCACCTGGGACAGGTAAGCCCACCTGAAGTGGCAGTACAGATACAGGAAAAAACTGGTACCATAGGGTAAAATTAAGTTACCTATGACCACCTCAGAAACAGAGTTGTTGTCTACTGACTGACGCCATGTAATGGTTAATCTTGATTGTAAACTTGATAGGATTTAGATCACCATGGAAACAGACCTCTGGAAGCTCTATCGGTAAGCTTCTAGATTGGGTTGAGGGGGAAGAACCTCCCTAACTGTGGGCAGCAGCATTTCACTGCCTTGAGTTTGGTCTGGATGTAATGGAGATGGTGAGTCCAGCACCAGCACTCATCTGCCTGTGGACACGATGTGACCAGCCACCTCAAGCTTCTGCCACCAGGACAGACTGCACCCTGGGCAGATGGGCAGCACTAACTAGATTCCGTAGGTTATTTAAGATTAAAAAGGCGAGGGGGGGGGGCAAGGCAGGTGCATCTCTGTGAGTTTGAGACCAGCTTGGTCACCACAGTAAGTTCCAGGACACCCAGGGCTACACAGAAATGCCTATCTCCAAAGAGAGGAGAGGAGAGGAGAGGAGAGGAGAGGAGAGGAGAGGAGAGGAGAGGAGAGGAGAGGAGAGGAGAGAGATGAAGTTGGGAGGGGGGCCTCTTGAAGGGTCCAGGTTGGGGGCTGGAAGGATATTATCAAAACACAGTGCAGCCGGGCGGTGGTGGCGCATGCCTTTAATCCCAGCACTCGAGGCAGAGGTAGGCGGATGGATCTCTGTGAGTTCGAAGCCAGCCTGGTCTACAAAGGGAGTTCCAGGACAGGCTCCAAAAGCTACAGAGAAACCCTGTCTCGGAAAAACCAAAAAAAATAAATAAATAAATAAAAATAAAATAAAAACCAGTGCATACGGTTATGAAATGCCCAAAGAATTTGTCGTTGTTTTGGTTTGGTTTTTTGAGATGGGGTCTCAATATAGCCTTGGCTGTGTAGACTAGGCTGGCCTTGAACTCAAGAGATCAACCTGCTTCTGCCTCAAGAGTGCTAGGATGACAGGTGTTCACCACCAAACCCAGCAGCCAAAGAAGCCATTGCTCAGAGCTGTCCTTGCCCAGTAGTATAGTACAGACTAGGCCCTAGGTTCCATCCCTAACTCTGGCAAAAATAAATGTTTGGGCCAGTTTGATAGCTCAGAAAAGGGTGCCTGCTGCCAAAACCTGTTTGATCCCTGGAACCTACATGGTAGGAGAGAATTAACTCTTACAAGTGGTCCTGACTTCCACAAGTATGCATTCACACACACACACACACACACACACACACACACACGTTTCTACACAAAAAATAAGTGTTGGGGGAATGGTAATTGAAAAATGTAAATAGGGACCATTTTTGGTTTTTGCAGTGAGATAGTCTCACTGTGTAGCCCAAGTTGGCCTCAACTCCTGCCTCTGCCTCCATATGGAATTGCAGGCCTGCCTGCAATAGCATGCTGGACCATGGTACCCATTTTTAAGCAAGTCATAAGATAAACAAAGCATAGGAACGGAGCTGTGTATTGAGAACTTATATCTTGTTTAACTTTAAATTGTTCCAAAGTTAATACATCACCACATCAATTACACAAGGAAATCATGGCTTGGCTTTTCACAACTCCATTTCTGTTAGAGAATAAAAAAACACTGTGGGCCCAGAACATTCATTCTCTCAGTTATTGGCAATGGCTCGGCTTCTTGCAAACCACCCTCAGGCAGGACAGGCACTACGGAGAAAACTGCCAATATCTCAGGGAATATCGCAGGCACTTTGAAAGGCCTCCAGGCCAGTTCCTGTTGGTGGACATGTTAAAGGAGCCGAGATGCTAAACAAACAGGAACAGCTCACATACAAGGGGTAGGAAGCCCTGGTAGAGGATGCAGATCCCTTGAACCTGTCACCAGAGGACGCAGTGGGAATCAGATTCCAACAAAGGCTGCGGGTTCATTTTGTTCTGACTGACTGCTGGCCTAACTCTACCTCCTCTTCTCCAACCACACTTGTGCATTAGAGATGGAGTGGCTGTCAAACAGACCACTCTCGCTGGCACTGCATGTCTTTCTCTTTCTCTTTGGTTTTCTTTTGTCTGGGGTAGGGTAGGGCTGGGACATGTTAGGAAAATGCTCCACCTGAGCTATCTCCCTAGCCCACCATGTTTTCATGGAGTGTGTGTGTTGTGACTGGAAGACATGGATTCTCCAATTTACTCCAAGATACATCATCAGGCAGAATACTTTGCTCTGAAAGGGACCCGAGCATCCAAAGTCACCATTCACTTCCACCCTGGCTTTGTGTCAGAACAGGAGAGAAGAGGCCCGGCTCTGCTGCGCCGCTGCAGGTGAGTAATGTCTTTGTCAGATCCTCCCTGGGCCACATGTGGGGCAAAAGCCATCACACAGCAGACTCTTCCCTTCCAGAGGCTGCGCCAAGAGGCACACAGTCCCATCCTTCAGCACCTGGCCTTATCCCTCCTGTTCCAAAAGCCTCTGGCGCGTCTCTAGCATGATCTCCTCCATTACTTCTGGCTTTAAGATATCTTTGATCTGAAAAAAAAAAAAAAAAAAACAGAAAAAAGTATGTGTTCATTCAGAAATGACCACAAGCAGAACATCAAGTCAACTAAACAAGGTAAGGGAGCCTGGCTATCATACACTGATGCAGCCTGCTCTCCAGCAGAGCTGAGCAAGGCAGCAAGGTGCCCTGTTCAGTCACTCATCAGAAGATGGCAGAAGGGCTGGAGAGTTACCTCAGTGGTTAAGAGCACTTGCCATTCTTTCAGAAAATTCTGGGTTAATTCCCAGCACCCACATGGCAGTTGACAGTAACTTGAGTTCCAGGGTGTTCTCTTCTGGCCTCTGCAGGCACTAGGCATGCATGTGGTGCAGACATACACACATGCAGGCAAAACACCCATACATGTAATTTTTTTAAGTCAAGAAAAAAAGTCTTTCTATTGACTCGAAAAAACATCAAGAATAGGGGCTGGAGAGATGGCTCAGAGGTTAAGAGCACTGGCTGCACTTCCAAAGGTCCTGAGTTCAATTCCCAGCAAGGCAGACCACTGTATACTTAATAAATAAATCCAAAAAAAAAAAAAAAACCCATCAAGAATATGGTTGACTTTTGGAACAGGCAAGATGAAGTATGGAAAGCTATTGTAAAAAAAAATTCTGCCTACAAACCCATCCTACACCAGATCCATAGCAATACTGGAAGTATCTCAGGGACCATGGCAGGAACTCATTAAGGTTGTACCTGGCTAGTTCCTGCCACAGGGTAAGGGAAGGAAAGTTGAATGCTGAAGAAACAGAGGAACAGCTCACACACAGGAAGGGAGTCTGGCTGGAGTACCTGATGTGCAAGGGAGGCCTCGTAGCAGTACAGGATGCTGGTGTCATACAGCATCATTCTCTGAGTTACCAGCAAGACTACGCAGTTCCGAAGCCGGGAGATCACCTCTCGATCGCTAAGGGCTACCGGCTACACAGGGACACAAAGGGGAAGGGAAAAGAAATACAAATAGGATCCAAATAAGCAAATAGTCCCAGAAGCCAGAAAAGAGAGAAATCACACTTGTTTCCACCATGGAACTCCATGCCACCCTGTTGGGATAATTTTTTTGTACACTGGCTGGCAGGCAAGCCCCAGGGATCCGCCTGCTTCTTAGCCCCACCCCACCTCACAGCACTGGGATTACATGTGCACCAACACCTCTGACATTTTTACATGGCTTCTGGGGTTTGAACTCAGGTCCTCACTCTTACAAGATAAGTACTTTACCACCTGAGACACACACACACACCCTCTGTTGCTTCTTCAGTGGCTCTCTGGTATTACCCTGCAACTTTGCCACTGTCACCACCAAAGTCATCTCTTCAGGGAAGAGAAGACAGTCAGGTGCCCACAAATACTCTCTACATTAGACTCATTCGAAGCACAGAAATGTCCGCAGTCCAGATGGCGAGTGAACCACAAGCAGCATTCAGGCATCAGCAGCTCCCACAGATACAGTGGCCTCCCCAACCACTTCAGTGCTGCAGCGTCTTTGGAGTATACTTGCAATGCTCTACAATGATAAAATCACCTAACACTGCAGTTCTCAGAATGCTGTGGAATAATCCTCTTGTACTGTAAAGGATTGTCACTCAGATTGGTTTACTAAAATGCTGATTGGCCAGTAGCCAGGCAGGAAGTATAGGTGGAGCAACCAAATTAAAGATGATGGAAAGGGAAGAGCAGAGTCAGGAGATGCCAGGAAGATGCCGAGAGCAAGACGGGCATGCTGTACTAAGAAAAGGTACCACCACACCGGGCAGTGGTGGTGCATGCCTTTAATCCCAGCACTCGGGAGGCAGAGGCAGGCGGATCTCTGTGAGTTCAAGGCCAGCCTGGGCTCCAAAACTACAGAGAAACCCTGTCTTGGAATAAAAAAAAGAATTAGAAAAGGTACTGCCACATGGCAAAGGATAAATAAGGAATATGGGTTTAATTTAAAATGTAAAGCTAGTTAATAATAAGCCTGAGCTACTGGCTGAGCATTTATAAGTAATTTAAGCCTCTGTGTGCTAATTTGGGAAGCGACGCTGGATATCTAAGACCTAGCGGCTCCAAAGCAGGAAACTTCCATCAACATCAGAACATCCTAGATGTTATGAGCACAAGACTACTGACACAAAGGCACAGCAGGGCCCGGCAGATAGACCCCTTAAAATCCCATAAAAGCTGGACAGAGCACAAAAGTCTGTAACCCTACCACACCAATCAGAAAATCCTCAGAAGCTCATAGACCAGTTAGCAGAGACTGTCTCAAACAAGGAAGAGAAAGGCAAGGATCAACAGAAGCTTGCCCTCTGACCTCTACATGTGTCACGGCACATAATC